GTGATGCCTGCGGGGACACGGGGACACTGCCATGGACACGGGGACACCGTGATGGGAACACCATGATGGGGATGGAGTCACCGTGATGGGGACATCATGCTAAGCATGGACACTCGGGGACACTCACCCGGCACGGCGGGCGGCACCGTGCGCCGCAGCGCTGTCACCGTCGCCATGGCGATCTCCTCGGCGCTGAACTTCTTGCTGCAGGAGTGTCCGGCCGTCACCATGTTGGGCTTGAGCAGCGTCCCCTCCAGGTAGATGTGGTGGTCGCTGAGCGCCTTGTACACGGCGGCCAGCACCTGGGGGGACATTGGGGACATTGGGGACACGTTGGGGACAGTGCCTTGTACACGGCGGCCAGCACCTGGGGGGACATGGAGACATTAGGGACATGGGGACACATTGGGGACAACGCAGGGACAGCGCCTTGTACACGGCCGCCAGCACCTGGGGGGACATGGGGACATTGGGGACAACGCAGGGACAGCGCCTTGTGCACAGCCGCCAGCACCTGGGGGGACATTAGGGACATGGGGACACGTTGGGGACAACGCAGGGACAGCGCCTTGTACACGGCCGCCAGCACCTGGGGGGACATGGGGACCTTGGGGACAACGCAGGGACAGCGCCTGGGGCACGGCCGCCAGCACCTGGGGGGACATTAGGGACATGGGGACACGTTGGGGACAACGCAGGGACAGCGCCTTGTGCACAGCTGCCAGCACCTGGGGACACGGGGACACATTGGGGACACGTTGGGGACTTGGTGACAACGTAGGGACAGCGCTTTGTACACAACTGCCAGCACCTGGGGACACGTTGAGGACATTGGGAACACATTGGGGACATTGGGGACAATGCAGGGACAGCGCCTTGTACACGGCCGTCAGCAGCTGGGGACACGGGGGACACGTTGGGGACACATTGGGGACAGTGTGAGGACACAGCAGGGACACAGCAGTCAGCACCTGGGGACAGCGCAGGGACACGGTGGGGACACAGTCTGAGGGGACACAGCAGGGACACGTTGGGGACAGCAGGGCCCCGGCCATGCCAGGTGACAGAGGGTGACAAAGAACTGCCACCAAGGCCACACCAGGGCACAGCCGGGAGCTCCCCGACCACCTTGGGGTGACGCCTGGTTGACACGAGGCCACCACCAAGGCCACATCTTGACCCCAGAGGAGGCCCAGGAGGTCCCCAACTGCCTCAGGTGACAACTGGTTGACATCACTATTCTCTGGTGTCAAGATGAGGTCTTGGTGGTGGCCCCAGGGTGTCCCCAACCACCTCAGGTGACAACCATTTGACATGAGACCACCCCCAGCGCTAAGAAGAAGCAACCACCACCAAAACAGGGTGACAGGAGGCCCCGGGGGGTGACACGGAGACACCAACCTGCTGGCAGATGCTGGCGTAGCGCGCCAGCACGTTGGCGTTCTCCATGATGGCCAATGGGGACATGGCCAAGGAGGAGGTGACGGGATGCCCCGGGGAGGGACGCGGTGGCCCAGGGAGGGACGCGGTGACCCGGGACGGTGACGCGGTGACACGGTGACACCCACCTGCTGGCAGATGCTGGCGTAGCGCGCCAGCACGTTGGCGTTCTCCATGATGGCCAACGCGGACGGCGTGTGCTCCGAGATCTTGAGCACGCAGCGCCACTTGGCGAAGTCGGCGCCGTCCTTCTTGTACTGGGCGCAGCTCACGATCCCGGCCAGGCCTGGGGGGAGACGGGGGGACGTGGGGACATGTGGGGACGCGGCAGGGGGACACCCGGAGGGCACTGGGGACATAGGGATGACCTTGGGGACACAGGAACAATGCTAAGGATGGCCCTGGGGACATGAAGATAAGCTCAGGGACATGGGGACAGTCTCGGGGACATAGGGACAATCCTGAGGATGGCCCTGGGGACACGAAGATGAGCTCAGGGACATGGGGATAGTCCTGAGCATGGCTGTGGGGACACGAAGATGAGCTCAGGGACAAGGGGACGGTCTCGGGGACATGGGGACGATCCTGAGGATGGCCCTGGGGACATGAAGATGAGCTCGGGGACATGGGGACGGTCTCGGGGACATGGGGATGACCTTAGGGACAGCTCTGGGGACACGGGGATGGCCCCGAGAATACAGGGATGACCTCGGGGACACGGGAAGGACCTTATGGAGAGGTCTGGGGACACGGGGATGGCCCTGGGGACAGGATGACAGCCTTGGGGACAGTCCTGGGGACACGGGGACGGCTCGGGGACGGTCACTCACCTTGGGTGGTGGTTTCACCATTGGTGCCAGCCAGGGGGACGACCCCTTTGTCCACCTGGGGAACAAGGGCACGGGGACACGGTCACCCCAATGTCCCCCCAAATCCCCCGTCCCTCCATGTCCCTCTGGCCCCTCAACATCCCCACATTCCTGAAGTCCCCTCAACGTCCCCGTGTTCCCCAATGTCCCCTCAATGTCGACATCTCCTCAACGTCACCAACGCCCCCTCAACGTCCCCGTGTTCCCCAATGTCCCCTCAATGTCGACATCTCCTCAACGTCCCCAACGTCCCCTCAACGTCCCATGTCCCCAACACCGCCTCAACATCCCCAACATTCCCTCAACGTCCCCAACACCCCCTCAACGTCCCCGTGTTCCCCAATGTCCCCTCAATGTCGACATCTCCTCAACGTCCCCAACGTCCCCTCAACGTCCCATGTCCCCAACGCTGCCTCAATGTCCCCAACATTCCCTCAATGCCCCCAACATCCCCATGTCCCCATTGTCCCTGTCATCCCCACGTCCCCTCAACGTCCCCGGGTTCCCCAATGTCCCCTCAATGTCGACATCTCCTCAACGTCGCCAACGTCCCCTCAACGTCCCCGGGTTCCCCAATGTCCCCTCAATGTCGACATCTCCTCAACGTCGCCAACGTCCCCTCAACGTCCCCAACATTCCCTCAATGCCCCCAACATCCCCATGTCCCCATTGTCCCTGTCATCCCCACGTCCCCTCAACGTCCCCACCGTCCCCGCGTCCCCACCTTGATGCCCACGAGGCCGCCCTTGGCGCGGATGACGGCGGGGAAGGCGCGCCCGTCGTCGGCCTTCTGGTAGAGGGTCTCGTGGAAGAGGATGACGCCGCCGATGCAGTTGTCCACGCGCTGGTCGGCGGGGAAGAGGAGCTGCCGGCAACAG